CATGAAAATATCCCAAAGAAATTTAGTGATCCTGGCAGTTTTATTATTGTTTGTACAACTAGAAACTTAAAGCTTGTTAAGGCATTATGCGAGTTAAGAGCTAGTATTAATTTGATGTCCATTTTCTTTATAGATAGTTAGGAATGTATGATTTAGATCCATGTTGTACTATGATTTTGATGCCTTTTTGCTTTATAGACAGTTAGGGATCTATGATTTAAATCCATGTCGTACTATAATCCAGTAAGCAGATAGATCAATAAAACTCTCGAAAGAGATTATTCATGACATACTGGTGCAAATAAATAAATTTATCTTCTATGTAGATTTTATTATTTTGAAATGAGACAAGATCATGATATTCCTATCATTCTAGGAGGATCTTTCATTTCCACCGCTCAAGCCAACATAAACGTCACTCAAGGCGAAATCACATTAAGCATTGATGGTGAAAAAGTCATCTATAAAATTTTCTTTAAGCCAACTAAAAATGAGAATGATGATTTTATTAATAAAATTAATGAATTAAATACTCTTAATAATAAGCTAGCACCGGAATTCATTCAAACAACTTTAGAAAAATTCTCTCCAGTTCGAGGAACTGAAGGACTCAGTTGAGCAAAGTAGTGATGAAACCAGACAGACTGAGTCCTTAGATGAAGCTAAACGAGAACCAGTGAATGAGTCTACACAAAAGGTTGAGCTGGATAAGCTTCCGGAGCATCTAAACTATTTATTTCTAGGACTGGAGGAGTCATATCCCCTCATAATTTCCACCTTATTGCTACCGGACCAGGAAGCCTTGCTTCTTACACTTTTTACACTCATTTGAATGGAAATATGCAAGACATTAAAGGAATCAACCTAGTAGTGTGCATGCACCACATAATCCTATATACTAAATCGAACCCATGCAGGCAGCCGAAACGGTGTTTAAATGGGAATATGAAAGAGCTAGTAAAGAAGAAAGTAATTGAACTGTTTAATATAGGTATAATCTACCCTATCAGTGACAGAAAATGGGTTAGCTCAATCCAGATGGTCCGGAAGAAAGGAGATTTAGTTTATGACATCAACAAAAAAAATGGAGGTTTCATGATAAGACCAGTCACTGGATGAAGGATTTGTATAGATTATAGAAAGCTCATTCCTATTACCAAGAATGATCATTTTTTGCTTCCATCACTTGATCAATACCTTGATAAATTAGCCGACCATGAGTATTATTATTTTGTGGATAGCTACTCAGATTACTGTCAAATACCGGGTATGCCTTAGAGACAACACATATTAGGTTGAGTGGATCTTCCTCTTTAGTAACGACGTGTGCTTGATTCATCTCTTTCTTTCTTTTCAGCGCCTTGCAGTCTATCAAACGGTGTCCGAGCTTCCCGTAATTGAAATAAGTGCCCTTGAAGCTACTTTTTGCTTTATCAACGCCGTTAGATGTCTTTGACTTCTATTTGCTCTTAACTGCAAGCTTCCAGTTCTTTCTAGTCTGCTCATTGTTCCTCTGAGCAGTCTTGAAATGAGAGCCTTGACCTTTCTGTTCGATTAAATTAGGCTTGCTTCCGAGCATCAGATGTCCCTTACTTGTCAGATTCAATCGATGCTCCTCTTCAATTTGGAGATGATTGATCAGTCTCGCATTTTTCATTTCCTTTCATTTGTGTTTCAAGTAAATCTTGAAATCACTCCAACTAGGCTGTAATTTTTCAACTATCGTCGCCACTTAGAAACCTTCTCTTAGCTCAATTCCTTCGGCCTTATTTTCATGAAGAATCAGCTAAAACGTATCAAGCTGCTTCATAACACTTTTTCCATCCACCATCTTGAAACCCCAAACCGACCCAAAATAAATTTCTTGCACTAGCATCTTCGGTTATGTACTTCTTTTCTAACGTCTCTCATAGCTGCTTAGTCGTTAGCGCATGCTGGTAGACACTGTATAGGGATTCGCTCAAGCCGTTAAGAACATAATGCACATAAAATCTGAGGGTTTCGAGGCTTTCAGAATTTGTACTTTATGTTTTTCCGAGGATCCTTCAGGCATTACAGATGTATCCTTAATTAGCCAGTCTGCCAAATTCAGTGTAGTCAGATAAAACATCTTCTACTGCCATGTTTTAAAGTTCTGCCAGTTGATTTTTTTGACTTTTCAACTTCCGCAGCAAAAGCTGCTGAAAGTAGCAGCAACAGGTTGTATTACGTGGTTCGCAAAAACAACAGGTTGTATACCTTCCAAGTCGTCTAGTTGTTGTCTGAAAGATGCAATGAGACCCTGTGCAAGTCCTGCAGCCATATATTGCGGACAAGGCAGAACAACAACAAACTGTCTCACATGGGTATTAATAGAATCTCATTTTTTCACCTCAGCAATAGGCTGGTGGAGGTCGCAGCAACAAGCTGCGCCCCCTCTATTGCTGCCTTGAAGGCCTATTCGTATGTTGATTTTCTGCAGTAGTCCTCTTGGTCACCTCAAGCCTAGCAGAAGCGATTTCAGCAGTTTCATCGGTTGTGTGAGGTGGCTTAGATCGTTGAACAAAGAGAACGGAGGTGTGAGACTCGCTGGAATCACCTCTTCGTTCTCCTCACCGCATGCACTAATCTGAATATTATCGTTAGGATTTCCTTCTCCCCCGTCATGCATGGGTTTGATCATAGCTTCATCATTAGGAATGATCTTGGGATTCTAGATTTGGTCACAGATCTGAGGGATTTCGGCAGCCATCTCGGATATTGACTCGGCAAACAAAATTCACTTCAAGATTGTTATGAAATAACGAACAAAATATGAGATTCGACAAATCCAAAATTATAGATATAATAACACGAAAGTCTGAGCCTCGGTCAACATGTGATTTTTTAAAGCAAATTTGGTTTGCCATCGATCGTCTCCCATGATAGAACAAATTAATCGGAATGACGGATTCTACAAACCAAATTAGAAATTAGAGACTTTTAAGAAGTGAAATTTCCAGAGATGATTTTTCAAGAAATTTTTTGGAGAAAGAATTTCTTTAGAGATCTAAAAAAAATGTGTATCTTACAAGGGAGGAAGAAAACTTATATATATTAATTTTCATATTTGGGATTATTTTGTATTTAATTACGGGAAAAATCAATCCCATCAATTTGCACACACTTTTGTGTTGCAACTATAATTCTTTATCTGATTATTTGAATTTATCAAGTCAAAATACATTAATTAGATAAATATAAAATAAAAATTAATTAAATTGTTAAGCAATTGAGCTTGGCCCAAGGCCTAAATCTTGAGCTTTAATATAATTAAGCCCAAGCCAAGCAAGCCTAAACTAGGATAGGCCCAGTCCAATTCAAATTTTCCATTTATTCTTGATGGGGTGCAATTTAGAATGCGTTTATTCACGCAGAGTTTGAGAAGATTTACTATTGAGTTACTGTGAGTGGGAGTTCAGCACCAACACACCCCTAGACAGACAGGTTGCAGGGCGTAAACATATAGGCCTGACAGATGGTGGGTTTAATTTTGATCTTTTATTTATCTTTTATTGTAAATGTAGTTGATGTTGGGTGTGTACTTCTTTCATTCATTTTTATTTTTTTGTTTAATTTATGTATTCATGTGTTCTTTGATTGAGTTTGGAAAAAATTAGTTTGTATTTCATATTAAAGAGATATTTTATGAGAAAAATATATATTTTTTTTTTGGAAAATACAGAGTCCAAAGAGTAATATTTGGATAAACGAAGCAAAATAAGATATGTTAAAAATGGATTTTTTTTTTTTTGGTAAATATATTTCAAATTTTTAATCAATAAATATTTTTTAAATTTTATCCAAAAGAAATATAATAATACATTCAACCTTTTGGACCAACACAATCATTACCTAATAAATCAATATATATCAAAATTCTTCAAACTCAAACAAACCTATATACCTAAAGAAATATAAAAAACCAAACTCTCTCCAAAATTCAAATTCAATCCAAACTCAAACTCAACTTTCCTCGAACTTTGTCAAAAGAAACACACCCTTAATACAAGGAAGGGTGATGTTGTTTATGTTTCCTTTGGGGGACAGAATCCCTCTTATCTCACTTATTCCTATGGTACCAACACCAACATTACCCAAACTTGGGTGTTTATGGTGACCGTGGAATCCAGAGGAGGAGAAGCTGTTGCGGATACTAGTGCAAAAGTATGGCGTCCGGAAGTGGTCGTTAGTTTGCAGCAAATCTATTCCGGGGAGATAGGCGAAGTCCTGCTGTGCAACTAGCTGTTGCCAGAAGTGGAGCATCGTCCGTTCACGGGTGAGAAAATCCTTGAGGTATATGCTATGTTTGGGAACAAGTGGGCCAAGATCGTGTGCTTGCTCAATGGTCGGCCTGATAATTCCGTAAAAAATCACTGGAACTCGAAGATGAAATGGAAGTTTGCAGCCGGTGGCGGCGATGAACGACCAACAGTTTTGGGGCGAGCAGCAGCGGAGATCGGAGATCGGAGATGTGACAAATAATAATAATAATAGTAGTAGTAGTAACACGTATATGAAGCAGAAAAATAATCAAAGCACAAGTATATAATTATTTTTAATTGTGTTGATTTGTAGTAGCAGTAGCAACGAGTGAAAAAGTCACAATTGCTTTAGAATGACTTAATAAAAATAAATAAAGATAGGAATTGAACTGCCGACGGACTTCACTTCAATTGAACAGATATTGTTATATGAATACATTTTTTACAACTCAAGTAATTTAGTAATTTATTTGGATTGGGATTTTAGTTAGATACGAATTAATTATTCAAATCAAAGACAGTTAACAAGAGATAACCAATCTGCGTTACACGAATGAATGAGGCTAAGTCCGAAATCCTTAATTTCGGTAGAAGCCCAAAATAGGCCCAGCCCAGTAAGACGTAGCAATATCATCTCAATCTGTCCCATAAAATGCGAGATACGCGCATCCAGGACTTCAAATCTTAATTCATCGAAACCGGTCATTGCAATTGATCCATATTTTTAACGGTGTTGATCGTGTCCGGAGCTGCGCTCCATGGAGTGGCTCAGAATTCCTTACTACAGGCAATCGATCGGAGGGAACAACTGAATAGAAAGAACGATGGGAGGGGAAGAATGGAGGAGGACGAGGAGGAGGAGGGAGATCATCAAATTCGATAAATAAAAAACAAAGAAAAGGTCCTAGCGGAGAGGGAGAGGTAGGCTGCAGTCAAATCCATCCAAGGTAGTAGGCGGTGACGACGACGTTGGAGAAAGGAGAAGATGCTTCCAACTTCTTCATCAGCAGCGAAGGCCCGGTCGGGGCCTCAGGCCCGACCCAACTCTTTGTTACCGCAGTACCTTCGGAGAATAGTCAAGGTTTTTGGTTGCTTTCCCCTAATTTTCCCCCTTCCATTATGTGATGAATTTTTTGTTCTAGATGTAGATCCGATCTCGATGCTCCGCATTATTTCGAATTGCACCTCCAATTGAGTTGTTCTCACTGCGAAATGTGTCTTGAATCGGTGTTCTCTCTATTCTGATTTCGTTGCGGTGGAGAATTATATGAGATTATCGAACAATAGTGTTTATTTGTAGCGTTTCGCTTCCTTAATAGGAAGGTTTGAGCTCACGAATTGATGGTGTTTGTTTGAAACAATTGTGTTGTTTGTCATGGGCCGGTGGATCATTTTGTTTGATTCCGTCCGCCGGAAAAAAGTGCAGTTCACATGCAATTAGCTGACAATTTTTATCTGTGCTTTTCTTCGATAATCCAGTTCCTATAGATGGGATTGTGCCATGCTTCCCGCACTGATTTTCGTAGCGATCGAATATTTTTCATGTTACACTGCTATAGCAATTTCAATTTGAGCTGAAATATGAACTTTCACAAAGTCTGCAATTGGAGTACCCATTGGAGGTTATTAAAAATGCCTAGTTATGGAAGTAACCACAACATGGGGTGCATAATAACCTATCCATTGTAAATTTCCTTTTTATGATCCAGTTCAGTAATATATTTAATAGGTTGTACTTTTAAGCTAATACAGAATTCATATAAGTTGACTGATTTATCAAACTTTGAAAAAGATGTTCTAATCATTGAATTTGATTAGGTTGTCCTTCAATTCAATATCTTGGGACAATCAGTAAGTTAATTGTTAATGTCATAGAGAGGATCCAAGTGGATTCTTACCTGTGGCCCAGAGTTGAAAAAACTTTCGCCCCCACCTTAACCCCAAGTGAGAGTTTTCTGGAACACTTGACCAAATCCTAAGGGTTGTGATAATGCTCGATAGTTTGATCAAAAAGTGTTGGTTGTCCTTGTGTAGAAGCATACTACTTTTGTTGTTCTGATACCTCCGATATGAAGTCAGCAGTGCTGGCACACTATTGATTCTTAGGATGTCGATATTAATCTCTTATTGTTGTATTTGGCTGAGGATAGAACGAAAAGAATGGTGTATTTCTGGCATGAAAATGTGCGGTTGGTTGTTTTACTCAATAGCTCATTGAGTTTATGCCTTTTGTGGAAGGTTAGGATTCATGGACTGCATTTTCACGCTTTTGTCTAATTGTTTTCCATTCTTTTGTGGGATATATATAATTCCGGTTACTCCAATGGAGGAAGATCGGATTTACCAGTATATTAGCATTGATGCATAAGTCTTCCTGGATACTTAAGGGGCCAAGAGGGTGATTAGTTCATGGGAAAGGTGTCTTTGCATTGGTCAATAGTTAGACTTGATGGGGAGAGGAACATGAATTGTAATGACAAATGTTTTGCCAATCATTTGGTGTCCTTTATGTATTCATATAATTATAACATTTCTAAGCTCTCTTTTCTGAATCCTCATCAGAAACTGTATTATATGCTGTCTGCTTAATAATCTTATGTGATTCTGCAAATCTTGTGTATGTATTCTCTCAGTAACATCAAAGTCTTCTGTGTGGTTCTTTGCAGTGGCAACAAATGGATATTGAATATACATTCTGGCAAATGCTTCATCTATGCACTTCTCCTAAAGTTGTGTATGTATACTATCACTCTATGTTTTTGTTTCTCAGTGATCCGAATGTCTGATCCCTTTAGTACATCAGCAGCCATACCTTAATGGCTTCCAGAAAAGATAACTTATATTAATACTCAATCCTGGTTTTCTGATATCATTATAATTAGTAGTAATGACTTTTAAAATTTTACTGTTTTATTTGTGAGAAATTTAAGGGTTTCTAAAATACTTGTAATAAAATATGCTCAAAGAAACACAAATTATGCTGGATAAGTTCTGTCTGGTGATGCGTTAATTTGTTGTTGCGAGACAACTTTCAACCAGAAATTCAAATTATAAACATTTTGAGAAGTATTTATGATTAAGTATATCTTACTACATAACACTTATTTTAAAATTGTCATAGAAGTAATGCCCTTGTGTTTTTACTCGGGTTTGTTATACAATAAATATTTCTTTTGTTTTGTTTGTTTAATACTATAAACATTTTGAGAAATATATATATTTTTTATAGATAGTTATTATTATTATTATTATTCCTTTTTGGCTCCCTGATGGCATTGCTTCCATGTTTTGCATGTCAATTCGTATGACAAATGCAGATATCAACACACCAAGTATCACAAGCGTAAGTCTTCTTTTCTTTTCCACTATCTGTTTTATCTGAGCATTCTTGAGCCACTGGCAACTAATTGCACTAGTTTATCATCCTGAAGGGCAGCCATCCTTTTCAGACTTAAATTCTCAATGTTCAACTACCTATTACAGTATTGCTTCAATATGCAACCATGATTAGATACTTTACTGAATGTGATAGCGTTCGGCATCATTCATATGTTTGCAGTTTTCACAACACAATTTGAGCTATGCTGTATTGTTGCAGCTCTACTGCCCATGACATTGTCACGTACTTCATTTAGCAGTGGTTTTCTTTCTCAAAACACTTACCGATTTTATTGTTATCCATCGTATGGAACACACTGTTTACCCATTTTTCCATTTTCTGTGATTCAAAGTAAATATGCTGGTTGACAAGTTGTAGGGACTAACACTTAAAACTTTTCTCTTGCAGAAACAAAGAACCAATGGGCACGTGATGATCCTGCATTTCTTGTCATATGTAGTTTATTGTTGCTGGTTTCTACGGTGGCTTATTGTTCTGCGTGAGTATTCTTCCATGGCTGATAGCATGATTTTGGTATAATTCCACCTGTTATGACTAATAGTGCTTGTTTATGCATGATATAAACACTTGTTTATGTTAGGAAATGTAATACAAATATTAATTTATAATATAGTAAGCAAGCCCATAAGGTGTCTGGGGGAGTGTATTTCTAGGAGTTATAAGTTCATGAGACTGATGTAATATTATTAAACCTTCCAAAATGTGTCATCTTCTTTTATCGATAAATATTGTTTAGGATAGGATATTGAACTTGTAAACTGCTGCTTTAAAAAAATATATATCTGACTAATGTTTGGTTGAATAAGCAGAGATGGGATATTATTTACATAACATAAATAATAGTTGCGTAATGAATATTCTGACTTAATCATTTTATGATGTCCAAAATATTACTATTAACTAAAATAAGGTTGTTCAGAAATTTTTGGTAAAAAATTATTAGAAAAAGTAGAAAGCAAGCATCCCTTTGGAAATAAAAATGTAGAAAATAAAATATATATATATTTTTTCCATTAATGCATAAAATTTGTAAGAGTAATAAGAATGCCATAGATGTATATAGCTTACATTATTCTGATGAATCTTTTAATCCAAATAACTTGTTCATTGTTTTGCCACTACTGTTCACTTAACTATTAAATACTAGTGATTTCTTATTTATGAGCAATATTCAATAAATATTAATATTCAATGTAAAAGTTGATTAGAGAAGAAGATGGATATACACACACATATATATATGTATATAGAGAGAGAGAGAGAGAGAGAGAGAAATTAAACAATAGATTAAAGATTTAAGAAAAACAGTTAAATGTATTTTTGTCTGAAAAAGGATATAGTTTTAAGCTCAAACAGAAGCCCACTAATCCTTCTTTGAGGTTCCTTATATATTATATGTGTGGCAAAGGGTAAATTTCCTTCCAGAAATTTCCATTCCAACAAACTCTTCTCTTGTTATACTCCTTTTCTATTGGACTTTTGCATGTGTTTGAAGGTGGTCTCTCTCTGTTTTACAGCTGTCTTTCATTGGTTTCAGGTATGATCACAGTGCAGGACATGCGGCCTTTGTAGTTATTTCAGTGTTGCTCTTTCATTTCCTCATAACAGGTGCAATTTTGGCTACTTGTTGCTGGTAAGTACGTACTTGATAGAAGATTAAATGGTACCTGTAATTTCAGTTTCATCATTTATAGGATGGTATGGTGACTGATGTTTTTCAATTATTATAGTTATGAATAGTTCGTGGGGACCCAAGTGTTTGGGGGTTACTTTATCTGCACTAATTTATAGGACAAGGTTTCTTTATTTCACTACTGATCACAGTTGACGTAACTATGAAAACAGTGATCCAGTTTATATGTCTACTTATAGACGTGATACAATTAAATATAATTCTAACATACTCTATCCAGGTTCTTTACAAACAATTACCTCCGGGAAGAAGCTCCAAATAGTCATGTGGTGGAACAACGAGTGGAGTGGCAAGTTCTGATCCTATTTTATGACTATCTATACCATGGTTCATTGGTTATTCCCTTTTTATTTGTAGTAGATGCTATCATAGTTACTCATGTCACAAAATTATTCTGATTATACAAGATTGTGCAATGGGCTGATGTTCTTTGCTAATATCGTGTTTATTCTTGACATTAGGTTGTACGCCTTTGATGTGCACTGCAACTCTTTCTTTCCTATGTTTGTGCTGCTTTATGGTAAGTTGTCGAGTAAAACATGCCTTTCTTAGGAGTCATCTCCTTATACTATGCATAGCTGCTGATGTTTCTCTTTCCTCTTACATTTTTTTTTTTTTTTTTCCTGCAGTTATCCATTATTTTTTATCACCTCTGCTAGTGGCTCATGGTTTTGTTCCCGTCTTGCTATCGAATTTGCTCTTCATGGTGGGGTTCTCTTATTATCACTACCTAAATTACTTAGGCTATGATGGTGAGATAAGTTTTACTTACAGCATAATTTAATTTTTATATTTGTATTTCACTTCAACTGTGCCAGTTTATTTGTTAGATGCCCATATGGCACCATTGGCTACAAAAATTCTTCAGACTTAAATCCTGAGTAATTAAAATTTAGTGCTTCCATGCTGCGAAAATTACAACGGTACATGATCAGTGCTACATTGGTCAGACACTGCTAAGGAAAGCTGATCTGCTTTATTCTACCTTCAATTCATAATTTCATTACAATTGTTGTCAATCGTGGTTAGCTGAAACTTGAGGATATGAAATTTCATTCATCTAGTTTAGTGCTCTAGCTTGTCATGCTTAAATCATCGTGTACTCATATTATCGATTGTCTGCTAATAAATAATAGCTAGAGGCTTGTTGCTTGTTTGGGGTTGATGTACATGGATATTTATCTGCCGAAAGCACTTGTCCTAGAGTCATTATTAGAAAATTGAAAACCAAATTAATAAGGAACTGCATTTTTCACTGCCTGAAGAAATATTAAGTTGGGGCAAAGGGTAACTCTGTCAATGAAAATGGATAAAATGTTGTTCCTTTTTTCTTATGCACGTTTTTCTCTTGTGGCGCAGTATTGCCATTCTTGGAGAGAACGACTTTGTTCCTGTACCCAATCGGTGCCGTCTTTGTTCTTTCCCCTATATGTAAGCATATATATCTTCGATATGACATGGATGCTATTATAGTTACAAATAACAAATTATGTTTGTTTGCAGTAATTCTGAGTGGCTTCAACCCGTCGAGATATTTCATGAACATGTATTTTAGTCAAGTGGTATAGATGCAATTGACGCCACTGCATGCTGGATGTGAGGACCCAAGAAGATCGATGTTAGGGTCGATTTTGTTATTGCATAGGAGTGGGGGGGTAACAGGGAGCCTAACTATTGGGTGGGAGGGGGAGGGGGAGGGAGTTGAGGGTGGTGGTGTTATATTGGTCTTTGTTTAGTGAAGTTGCGATTGAAAAAAGGTTTGGGTCATTGGTGGTTATTTGCTTGCTTGCTTGCTTACTGAGAGAGTGGATATGTATAACGAGTTTCGGGCTCATCAGTCATTCACACACATGATGAATTTGATATAATAGTGTTTCCTTTTTGACGTTTTTTGTAGAAATTGTGAACTAGTGTGTGTGTTCCTCCCTATCATTGATACTAGAACATTGGGAATGGACCCTGATTGAAATTTAGCATACTCAATACTGAGAAATTTCAATAGCAGAGAAAAGTTCTGAAATTTTTTATCACATTTTATTCAACACAGCACGAAAGTAACTAGATTCTCTCTTACAAATCAAAGGAAAGAAACTCAGAAAGAATGGGTTGAGAATGGGCTAGGCCTAATAAGGATATAAAGAAAAATAAAATACAGGTCCAAGGAGTTACCTAGGTCTTCCTGGTTCTACTTTTCGTTGTAATTTTCACATTTGCCCCTAAAGCCATGCGAGATCAAACAAAGTTTGGCACGCAGAGATAAAAACACTGGACCGGAAGGGCTTTGGTAAAAATGTCCCCTAATTGAGATTTAGACCTTACGTAATCAAGAGAAATGAAAGCTTCCAAGTAACGTTGTCAAACTTGGTGATTGGCAATTTCGATATGCTTAGTTCTTCCATGGAATACTAGATTAGCAGCAATATGCAAAGCAGACTTATTATCACAATAAAGAGGGATCAACTTTAGTACAGGTAGATTCAAAACAGTAAGCAGGTATGAGAGCCAAAGTAATTCACAAGTTGTAGTTGACATGCTCCTGTATTCAGCCTGCTTTTTGGCTTTCCATGAGATCAAATTCGACCCTAAAAAAAATGCAATACCCAATTATGAATTTTCTTGAATCTGGGCAAGTTCCCTAATCCGAATCACAAAATGCTTGGAGTTGTAGAGTTGAATCAGGTGGAGGTTCATAGATCATTTTAAGTATCTGAGCAAGTGCAATCCCGCCTTCCAATGAGCTACCAGAGGTTTATCCATAAACTGACTGAGCTATTGAGTAGCAAATACAATGTCAGGTCTGAAAAAATTCAGGTGTAGAAGTCTTCCAATTAGTCTTCTGAATTTGGTAGGATCTGAGGGACTCTCATGTTGATTAATCTCAATGCTCAGATAGAAACTTACATCTCCTAAATCCTTGATTTTGAAGGCTTCATGTAGGTATTCCTTCACTTGATGGATTGATCTTTCTGATAACCCTGTAAATAATATGTCATCAACATGGATAGTGAGAATAAGAATGTTTTTGTCCTAGAATTTCATAAATAAGCAGCGATTGTGTGAAGACTATGTGAATCCAAAGGCGAGCACATTTTCTGTGAATGTCTTGTACCACATACGAGGGGCTTGCTTAAGTCCGTACAAAGATTTCTTTAATTTGCAAACCAGATCATTTTGAACTGAGTACCTAGGTGGTGGTTTAGGATACAACTCCTCATCCAAGTAGCGTTGCAAGAAGCCATTGTTCACATCTATTTGTTGTATTTTTCATCATTTTATCACAATAGCAGCCAAAATCAATCTAACAGTCACACTTTTAGCCACAGAGGCAAAGGATTCACCAAAATCTATCCATAAACTTGGAGATATCCTTTTACACTAGTCGAGCCTTATATCTATTCACCTAACCATCCTTATTCTTTTTTATTTGAAAGATCCATTTGCAGCCTATTTGCCTTTTTTCTTATGGAAAATGAGTCAATTCCCAAGTGTTGTTTTGCTCAAGGGCCTTCAACTCTTCTTTCATAGCGGATGTCTAGTGAGTATGCTTGACAGCTTCCGAGTAGGAGTAAGGTTCCACTTCACTAGAGTCATTAGACACCAAACCACATGAGCACACATAATTTTGCTTCCATGTTGGTTTTCTAAGGGCTCTGTGAGGCCTTGGAGTTGGTTCAATGGGTATCATAGGCGGTGGTGTGTGATGAAGAGTCATGAAGAGAAATAGAATAAGTTAGATAATTAGGTTCTACATTCAAGCTTGGTAACAGAGAACTTACTTCTGGGCTAAAGCAGCGTTGAGAAGTTATTTCTGAGGTGGCCTGAGAAGAGAAACTAGCTGGAGCGAGATCCGTGGACTGAGGAGGGGCAGCAAAAGGAGTGCAAACCCAAGTAGCTGCCCGGGGTAAAGAACACCTTATAGAAGGAGACTCAAGAGTGTTTTTAGTATGTTTTGGTAATATATTTTCATAAAACACATCTCTAGAGAGAGATGATCAAGAATTTATTAAATTCAAGATCTAAGAGTTTGTATCATTTTGTTCCATCTATATACCCAATAAATAAGCACTTTACAACCCTTCTTTGAAGTTTGGTTTTTGAAGGATTGGAATTTAATGCAAAACACAAACATCGAAACACCCCGAGATGAGTCAAGATAGGGTTTGGTCTTATGGAGAATGTAGTAAGGAGATATCCATTTTAGAACATGTGTGAAGAAGATTGATCAGATAGATGGCAGTGAGCAAAGTTTCCCCCAAAATGAGGCAGACAACCCTAAATGAACAAGGAGACTTCTCATTACCGTTAAATGATGTTGATATTTCCTCTCTACTCTCCCATTCTGCTGAGGATTGTAAGGGTAGGTTTTTGGTGAACAATTCTATTTTCTTTAAGTAGCTGTTCAAACACATGGCTGGTTAATTCAGACTCATTATCAGTTTGAACTGTTTCACATGAGCTTGAAATTGGTTTTGGGTCAATTTTAGAAAAGCTGCAAAAGGTGGATTGTGTTTGGGATTTGAATTTCATAAGATAAGTCCAGGTAGCTCTACTGTGATCATCTAAAATTGTTAAGAAGTATCTACTACCATTGGATGAAGGAATGTCGTGAGGTCTCCACACATCCAAATGCAACAATTCAAAACAAGTTGAAGCAACAGAGGAACTTTTATTGAATGAGAGTTTCTTTTGTTTTGCAAAGTGACATGTATCACAAGGGAAGTTAGGCAGAGCACTATCAGTAAGGTTAGGTAAATATTCTAACACGGCTTTTGAAGGATGTCCTAGTATGAGGTGCCAGGGATATTCAATAGAGATGGAGAGCAGCTGCTGGTGTGATTTTTGGTATGGTGGTAGAGGTTTCCCTTGAGCCTGCCCCTCTCGACCATATTTTCACTCTGTTGGACCTAGATGACACAAGTATCAGCATGAAAGGTCACATAAACTTTTGAATCATGGAAAAATTTGAATATGGAAATAATGTGTTAGTTAAAAGTGGGCACAAAATACACATTATGATATGTATGAGTTTAGTTGGATTGAGTACGTATGATATGCCAACTGAATTGCTATTTGGCATGTGAATCATGACAGGTTTCTTCAAGGGAGTTAGGTATTGAAAGTGCAAGATCGTGTTGCTCACATGGAAAGTTGCCCCTGAATCTAAGATCCATGTCCCTACCGTCAAACTCATAGTCCTAGCATTAATAAACTCACTACCTGCATTTTCAAACTCCATTAAGTTGAGTTGATCCATTGTAGTGTTGATATTTCCTCAAAGTGCTTTGTTTATTTTCTTTTTAATCAATTCAGCTATGGAATCAGAGGACCAAGAGGATCCATACGAGCAAGTAACGCCATCATCAATGAGACTTAGTGTAGTTGCAACATTGTTGTTGTTTACCTTTGTTCATTCATTCTTTCGCTTTTCCTGCATAGCTTTGAACCACTCAGGTGTTCCATGCAACTTAAAACATGTTTCCCTGGTGTATCTTGTCTTCTTAGAGTGATCACAGAACATGGCTTTTTTTTTATTATCCTTTTCTCGAATGCCTTAAAAGGCATCTTGTGTGAGTTCATCAGCATAGTAGGTGATGATTTCTACATGAATCCTAGAATTTCTTGTTGTTTCTCAATGCTATAAAGCATAGCATATACTTTGTTCATAGGAGGCAGTGGGTCCCGTATTAGGATCTGACCTTTCATATAGTCATAAAAATCATTTAAACCCATAAGAAATTGAATCAGTTGTTGCCTATGAATATACTCTTCCATTTCATTCTTGTTTTCAAGTATAGGAGTCAAACATCGTATTTCATCTCACACTTTGTTCATTTTCGTGAATTAAGAAAATAAGCTCATGGTACCTTGCACAGTGTTTGACACTTCTCTTTGAAGCTGGTAGATTAAAGGACCATTGCATAGTCCATACCTTTCCTTTAGAATGTTCTACAGTTTTTTGCTTGTATTGACATATCCAAAGGCATCAACAAGGTTGGGAGAGATAGAGTTTAAGATCCATTGTAGGATCATGCTATTTGTCATTTCCCAGATGGTAGCAGCAACTGCTTCGTCTAACTTTGGGATGCTTCTTGTGACAAACCTAGTTTTGCCTTTAGCAGCTAAGGCACACAAAATTCCTTTACTCCAGATTAAATAGTTGGAGTCACTCAATTGGGTGGTTATCAACATTATCCTAGGATGATCTGAGGGAGGAAGTTCAAGGTGAGAGATAGAGCTCAAAACTGGTCGTGGCTCAGTTGCAGGAGAGTTTGATATTATAGCAGAGGATGAGCATGTATCCATTTTGGTAAGTGAATGAAAAGATTATAGTGGCTCTGATACCATGAGAAATTTCAATAACAAGGAACAATTTTGAAAAAATTTCTCACACTTTATTCAACACAGTACAGAAATATATATATATATATACACAATTGAGGGGGAACATAAGCTTCTATGCTAACAAACTGGATTCTCTCTAACAAACCAAAGGAAAGAAACATCAAAAAGAAAGATTGGGCTGAGAATGGGCTAAGCCTAATAAGGATATAAAGAAAAAATAAAATAATATAACAGGCCTAAGGAGTTACAAAGGTCTTCCTGGTTTTACTTATTCTTCGTTGTAGTTTTCACAAATACTTGAATTAGTATTTCATTTCATATATTTAAAGTTAGCATATTGTAGTCGTTGGTAGCATGATCGCTAACTGTGAGCTTATTAGTTCAAACCCTATAGCTTTTCAAGAGTTTAGGGTTTGGGGTGTTGGTGGTGTATTTGCACGTCACCTAAAAAAAAGGTGTTTAGAGCTTGAAAAACTTTCTCGCCCAACCTCAGGGTTTCGAGAAAAATCAAATGAAAGTTCTACGACAATCGGAACTAAAAAATCTATTGCGGGAAAAATAGATATGTTGACTCATTCTTAGACATCATACTCACACACTGATGGCATCCGCAGTGAGTTTCAGCTACGGTATAATGGCCGCAGTTATTTTCAGCGATAGTATGGCAGCGCAAAGCTCCCATTGGCCATCTATCTCAATAGTAAACATTGAATTCAATGAAAGAAAAAATAAAATCTGATGGTTTTGATGGGTAATTTCTCCTTCTTTGGCAAAATAGGGTTAGGACAAAACAAGTGGGCAGAAGAGAAAGATGTTTCATATCAGGAAAGCAGCGGGGCACTGGAGTGACGATTGTCATTCTACTATTCACAATTTGGTGAGGAAATCATGGGAAGAATCATGGGTTTTGTAATGGAGAGAAAGACAGCTCATGGTAGACATAAAATGATAGCACACTGCAAGGGTGTAGACATCGGCAGCTGAAGTGATGGCACAATGTAGGGTTTGCAGATATTCTTCTATATTTGTATTCTAGAGTGTCATACTTTATAATGAAAATATACTCTCTTTGTTCTGACTAATTAAATTGTCTATATTAGTGTCGATATAAAAATTTAGATAAAATATAATTAGTAAATAATTAAGAAGTGTATTAATAAAAATAATTACGGTAAATTATATAACACCCTCTTGTGTTTTAGTCAAAATGCACTGAATACCTTGTGTTTTATTTATTGCGTGAAACTCTCTTGTGTTAATGTAAAGTTTGCACGAAACATCCTATTTGTCCAAAACTGATGTTTGATTCTAAATAAAGACCTAAATTACGCATAAGTTATACAAATAAAAAATATAAATATTTTAAATAATTATTTTAAATAAAATAAATAAATAATTGATTAATCCTTTATTTTATAATTTTTTGAAGACAAATTTTTATCTGATTTTCACAAAAATTATAAAAATAAATGATTGATTAATTATTTATTTATTTTATTAAAAAATTATTTAAAATATTTTACGTTTTTATTTGTATAAAACTTGCATAATTTAGGTTTTTATTTAGAACCAAACAGCAGTTTTGGACAAAGAAAGTGTTTTGTGCAAACTTTATATTAACACAATGGGGTTTCACGCAATAAATAAAACATAAGGTGTTTGGTGCATTTTGAGTAAAACTGAATTGGTGTTGTATAATTTACCCAAATAATTATTGTATGATAAAAATAATTATAAATTAAGATTAAAATAATTAAATAGTTTACTTAAGATTAAAAAATTATAAATTATGAATTTTAAAATATGATTAAAGTATATAATTATATATTTTTTTAAAAAAATGACAAATTATATGAGACGGTCTAAAATAAAAAACATGAACATATTATATGGGATAATTAATTTTATTACAAAGTATAATATTAATTACTACCTCCGTCCCACTTAAATTATCTAATTTTGCTTAGGCACAAAATTTTAGATCTTGTGTAATTAATTAGTAAGTAATAAGTGTATTAGTAAAAATAATTATGATTTAATAAAAATAATTATAGATTAAGATTAAGATGACTAAATAGTTTAATTAAAAAAATTATAAATTAAAAATTTTAAAATATGATTAAAGTGTATAATTATATTTCCGAAAAAAAAGGACAAATTATGTGGGGCGAACAAAAATAAAAAGAGTGGACAAATTAAGTGGAACGGAAAAAGTATTATTTAAACAAAAAATACTAATATAATACTAAAATAAAAAATAAAAATTCCAAATTAAACATATAATAATATTTTAAGGTATTGATTATTTACTTTTTTTTGTCCAGTAAAATTATATAAATGCGCGAATATTAAAAAAATAACAAAATTTCTAATTTTAAAATAGGATACGTAAAAAGTAAAATGAAAATATTATAAAAAAATATTAAAAAATTAATTAAATAGTGAGATAAGTAGAAAAAAATAGTGAAAAATACTTAATAAAATTATGAATGAATAAAATTATTTAATATAAATAAATTGTTTAGCGGACGGCAAAAAAATAGTTATATAATTTGACGACAAAAATACTAGTATATAAAAATGGTTTACATTAATAATTATGTATAATTTTGTTTCACATTACTTTAACCAACAAAACAAACTATAGTTACTTTTATAAATATGACAATCTATATTAACTGATAAATGTCTATGCCTTTAAGCTATGATAAAAGCTAATGTAAATTTTATTACTTCCTCTATCCCTGAAATGTATCATTTTTCATTTATGTTCATGTCAAAATAAAGGTATAATTTCATAATTTAGTAATTGAACTACCTACCTATCATAATAAATACTTTTATAATTTATAATATATTACATAAATATCATTACTTTTATATTACATAATACTAATAGGATTATTTTTGTTTTTTTATTACAATAAGGTAATATTTAAAAAATTACGTGCAAAAATAAATGATACTCTTCTTATGGAATGGAACGAAGGGAGTAATTAATATTTTGGCAATGATATTGTCCTACATTGTTCTTGCAAAAAATTAATTTTTTTTAAAAAAAAATCTTTAATGTTATTTTTTTTTATTTGATTTGTTCATATATGAAGGTAACTCATATTAACAATTATTTATAAATTTATATTTGGATAGACGAGCGGAAACAACATCGACCATGCTATCCAATCGATGCAGCAACAACTTTCTGAGTTGACGAGCTTTGTTCGCAAGATGGTCGTGGAAAAATCTAACACGAGTGTCCAAGTCAAGGCGTGTAGAATATGCACGGGTGCAGCATATACCCTACAGATGCATGTCCGACCCTCCAAGAAGGATGTGCAGTGGATGTGAACGTTGCAAACTACGGTGTGAATAGACCTCCAGCGTACAATCCATATTCCAACACCTACAATCCAGGCTGGAGAGATCATCCGAAACTACGCAATGGAAACGCACAGCAGAATCATGGTCCTCAACCATTCGGAGCCACACACCATATACAACAGCTCGTCCTCATGAGAAAGAGTCCCCCCAAGCACCTACGAGTAATTTCAGTCCGTCTTTGGAAGACTTGGTGAAGTCTATGGCTACCGCTACCTTGCAATTCCAGATTAGCCAAGTATCAGAAGAGGTAAAACAACTACGTGAAAGAAGAAAGTGGCTTTCGCAACCAAAGCAAAACCCGAAGAACATCAGTGCTATAACCCTTCGTAGCGGAAAGAAATTGGAAGGTACACCTCATATCTCAAAGGAACAGAATGAGGATCAGATTGAAATGGAGATTGAAAAAGAAGCTGAACTTCACGAGAAGGTACATCCTAACTCCGTTCCTCCTACTAAAGCTAAATTAGCTCATTTTCCTGACAGGTTGAAGAAACCACAAAAGGCGAACAAACGAAAAGAGATTATGAAAATATTCAAGAAGGTGGAACTTAATATCGTGCTCCTGGAGGCTACAACCAAATCCCCAAGTACGCGAAGTTTTTGAAAGAACTGTGCACCAAAAAAAGAAAATTGCGAGGAGACGAGCATATTATAGCGGGTGAGAACGTGTCTGTTGTTCTCAAAAGAAAAGTACCACCTAAAACGGGTGATCCAGGTATGTTTTCTATCCCTTGGAAAATTGGAAAAATAGAAGTGGCTAAGGCTATGTTGGACTTAGGCGCCGCTATCAATTTTATGCCGCGATAACTATCTGACTCTCTAAATATAGGACCCTTAAAAGAAACAGGTATTATCATTCAGCTTGCTGATCGAACCAATGTCTATCCTGACGGTATGGTAGATGATGTCCTAGTTCAAGTAAATGACCTAATTTTTCCTGTCAACTTTTATATTTTGAATATGCATAATGCACACTGCTTTAACCCACCGTCTCTCTTGCTAGGCAGACCTTTTATGTGCACTGCAGGAGCAAAGATTGATGTAAGGAAGGGTACCCTCGCTTTGGAATTTGATGGAGAAGAAGTCCATTTTAATATTTTTGATATTGTAAAACACCCTGTTGATTCAAAGTCATTGTATGCGATTAATGTTATTGATCCCTGGGTGCAGAAAACATTTGAATTAAGTGGTTCCGACGAATTGAAAATCGTGTTAATGGAACATCTGGAGGAGGAACATGTGAGAGAGAGTCACCACGGTATGAATTGGCTCCAATTTTCTTACATGAATCTAGTAAGTGTTTATTACCATCTTTGATGCAGGCACCTGAATTGGAGTTGAAACCTCTACCTGAGACTCTGAAGTATGCTTATTTGGGAGAGAATAATACTCTACTGGTTATCATGTCTACGAAATTGACACCAGAATAAGAAGATAAATTGATTAAGGTTCTAAAAGATCACAAGAACGCCATTGGATGGACGATCGCTGACATAAAAGGTATTGATCCTTCATTATGTACTCATAGGATCACACTCGAGGAGGATTTGAAACCGGTAAGACAAGCTTAAAGAAATTTAAACCCGATTATGACTGAGGTAGTCAAGAAAGAAGTGTTAGAGCTCCTCGATGCTGGTATCATCTATCCTATCTCCGATAGTAGGTGGGTGAGCCCGGTTCAAGTAATTCCCAAGAAAGCTGAAGTAACAGTGGAAGAGACTCGAGAAGGAGAAAATCTCCCTGTGTGAAAGCAAACTGGATGGCGCCAGTGCATAGATTACTGTAAGCTCAATGCGATAACAAAAAAAGATCATTTTCCTCTCCTTATATTAACCAAAACATTGAGAGACTCGCTAGTCGCGCATATTACTACTTTTTAGATGGATTTTCATGTTACTTTCATATAGCGATAGCACCCGAGGACTAGGAGAAAACATCATTCACCTGCCCATTTGGAGTTTTCGCCTACAAAATGATGCGTTTTGGTTTGTTTAACGCCGCTGCTACATTCCAAAGACATATGGTAAGTATTTTCTCTGAGTATATTAAGCGAATCATTGAAGTGTTTATGGATGACTTTAGCGTATATGGCGCTAGTTTTGATGATTTTCTAGGCAATTTGACTATAATCTTGAACCGATGCATCGAAACTAACATTGTGCTTAATTGGAAGAAATGTCAACTGATGGTTCAGCAAGGAATTATTTTGGGCCATAAGGTGTCAAATGAGGGTATAGAAGTAGATAAATCTAAAGTTAAGCTAATCACTACTTTACCTTACCCTACTTCTGTGTGAGAGCTACGCAGTTTTTTAGGACATACAGGTTTTTACCAACGATTCATCAAGGACTTCTCCAAGATCGGAGCACCATTGTTTCACCTCATGCGGAAGGATGTAGTATATGAGTTCAATGATAATTGCAAAAAGACATTTGAAGCACTGAAGGAGCGTCTCACAACCCCACCAATTATTCGACCTCCGAATTGGGATTTTCCCTTCGAGCTGATGTATGATGCAAGCGATACTGCAGTGGGAGCCGTTCTAGGGCAACGAGTTGGGAAAGCTTCTCATGTCATCTACTATGTTTCGCGAGCATTGAATGACGCTCAATTAAATTACTTTACCACAGAAAAATAGATGTTTGCTGTTGTTTTTGCTCTTGATAAATTTAGATTTTATCTTCTAGGCACTAAAGTGTTTGTTTACTCTGATCATGTAGCTCTACGTTACTTGATGGCAAAGAAGGAGGCTAAACCTCGATTAATTTCATGGGTGCTCCTTCTGTAAGAGTTTGACATAGAACTTTGCGACAAGAAAGGAACTGAAAATTTGGTAGCTGATCACTTGAGTCGCATACCCGTGGAGTCGGATGCAATACCTGTTCGAGAGTCTTTTCCTGACGAACAACTTCTCTCTATTGCAACTACATGCCCTTGGTATGCTGATATTGTTAATTACTTAGTTACTAACGAGTTCCCTACCTTTGGAAGTGATGCAAAATACTACATTTGGGATGACCCTACCTTTGGAAGCGATGCCCTGATCAAATCATTCGAAAGTGCGTTAATGAAGGTAAATTTCATTCTATTTTGACCTTTTGTCACTCTATGGCATGTGGTGGACACTTTGGATCCAAAAAGACAGCTAGAAAGGTGTTAGACAGTGGACTTTACTGGTCTACTCTCTTCAAGGACGCATTTGAGTTCTGTAAGTCTTGTGATAGATGTCAACGAACAGGTAATCTTTCTTCCCGTAATCAAATGCCTCAATCACCTATGATGTTTATTGAAATATTTGGTGTTTGGGGTATAGATTTTATGGGACATTTTCCTAATTCATATGGATGTTTATATATTATTTTGGCCGTTGATTATGTTTCGAAATAGGTGGAAGCAAGAGCCACCCGAACTAATGTCTCTAAGGTGGCTGCATAATTCTTTAAGTTTTATATCTTCTCTCAATTTGGAATGCCGAAAGCAATTGTAAGTGACAGAGGAACGCACTTTTGTATAGAGCCGTCAAAATAGGTTGAGCCTATCGGGTTGGCCCATCCCGCCTCACTTTTAAGGAGGGTTGGGTTGTGATTTTTTAAACCCGTTAAAATGCAAGCCTAGACGGGCCAACCCATGCGGGCCGTAGGTTGAGAGTGGGTTAACCCGCAGTGGGGCTGGTTACCCACAGGCCTAGTAAATATAATAATTAGTACTCACCCGTCTCAACTAAATGTATTATTTTACCATTTTTTACTATCACATTAAAAAATTATAATAAAAGTAATAAAATATTAATATCATAATATATTTTAATTTTATATAAATTACAAATATACCATTATAAATACAATTAATTTATAAGTAAGTACAAAGAGTAAAAAATTATCAAAATTATCTTGTACATTATATAATAAATAATATATTATTATTTTTTAATTTACTAAAAATGGATATTTTTATTTAAGATGAATAAAATATAATTTATATTATCATTAGTTTAAATAAATTAATCAATATTGTCTACACATTTTTTTTTCTAACTCTATTATCAATGTCAATCTTATTTGTTTCGATTTTTCATAATTTGTTTTGTTCATTTTCTATTTTATTGTTTTATATATATATATATATATTCTAAAATATATATTCACGGATTCATAAAATTAATTGTGATTTATTTCTAAAATATTTCTTATTATTAATTTCTTTAAATACACTAATTAATAATATTTAGAATTGAAAATTTTTATATTTTTTATTTATTTTTAAATATTTATTATTTAGAAATAAATTTATTTTTAACTATTTTTAAATATTAACTACCAAAAATTTATAATATTAATATTTTTTTATTTTTAAAAAGTCCGTGGGTTAGCTCGCATAGTTCGCCACCCGCCGATAGGTTGGGTTGGGTTGATGAAATTTTGGTCCACCCCGCCGCAGGTTAGGCCGCAAACAATCCGCTTATTTGCGGGTTATGGTAGGATGTGGATCAATCCGCCTCGCTAACCCGTTTTGACAGGTCTACTTTTGTAATAAAACCATGGCTGCTTTTTTCGGAAATATGGCGTACTTCACAAGGTGCAACTTCATATCATCCTCAAACGAATGGAAAAGCAGAAATCTCCAATCGTGAAGTCAAGTTTATCTTGGAGAAAACAGTTCAACTGAACAGAAAATATTGGAGCTCGAGACTCGATGATGCTCTGTGGGCATACCAAACAACATACAAGACACCAATAAGGAAGTCACCATTTCGATTGGTGTATGGAAATCCTTGCCATTTACCTGTGGAAATTAAACACAAGGAATTTTGGGAAGTGAAAAAGTGCAATATTCATCTTTAAGAGGCCGGAGTCCATAAAAAAAATACAAATTCAAAAGTTAAAAGGAGATTCGATAAGAGGCGTACGAGAATGCGATACTCTACAAGGAAAAGACAAAAGCCTTTCATGATCATCACATCTCCAGAAAAAATTTTGAGATTGGACAGAATGTCTTATTATATCATTCTCGTCTCAAGTTTTTCCCTGGAAAACTGCGCTCTAGGTGGATAGGGCCCTTTATCGTTACTAAACTTTTTCCTTACGGTAGTGGAGATTCAGAGTTTAAGGACAGAGAAAATGTTTTGGTCAATGGACATCGTCTTAAGTCATATTACGAGAGATTCCCACTTAAATATGTAAAGTTGGTGTCTCTCGCTGATGTCGAAGTTGAGAACTAAGACACGACAAAGTCTAATTCAAAGACTATAAAGAAAAACTCTTTTTGGGAAACAACCCAAACCATTTAATTACTTTCTTTAATTTTATTTATTTTTATTATTGTTTAATTGTTAATAATACTTTAGATAGTTTTGCTTGATTTGGTGCAGGTCTTTTGGAAAATAATTGCTAGTTTTTTGCGAAGGCGCGATTGACTTTTCCCTAAAGAAAAAGGCAAAAAAAAATGAAAAAAAATAAGCAAAAAGAAAAAAAATAATAATTAAATAATTATCTTGATGAAGTATTTTTATATAATTTGGTTATTAAAGTTTGGGTAGCGAATAAAGTGAGGATTTCATTGTTTATGCCGATTTGTTTTTCATGTGCTAGCATCTTGTTCTTAATGTATTCTTTTTTGTCATACTTAGCCATTGTTTAACTTTTCCTACCCCTAACCATAAGCTCCGCTCCAACCCTTATTGAGAGTCCATTTGATTCTTTATGTTAGATTCGAATATTTTAAGTAAGGGAGATTTGATTTTTACTCAAGCCTATAGGATAATATTTTATTACACTACTTGAGTGTTGAACCAATTATACACTTATTCCTTCAGAGAGCATGTGCGTATACACTTTATCTTCTGAGGTTGATTGGCTTGACGTATTGAATTTTGAATTGAAATGGTTGTGTTGGATTCTCTTGTCATATTGAGTCGCTTGCGATTTCTTTGGCTTATTTCGAATCTATGCTTGAGGGCAAGCATGATCTAGGTGTGGGGAGATTTGATAATTAGAAATCGTATGCGTTAAATGTTCATGTCATATGCGATATTTGATTGATTTTGATTGGATTCTACTTAATTTCGGTGTGTATTGTTTACTTCCGACATGCAAGAGAGAAAAAGCAAATTTGGCGTAATTGGAAGAAAAACTTAAGAAAATTTCGGATTTGCACCCCCGAGTTACTCATGGCCATGAATAACTCCACCCTCTTGACATGAGAATTTAATTAAAGGGCCAAAAGCCCAACTGCTAAAAAAATAAAGCAAAAGTAAAAGAAAAAAAATGGGGGGAGTCACATACGAACACGCAGATAGAAGAGGCAGAGAACAATCAGAGAGAAAATACGTACAAGAGCAGGAGACTAGCAGACTCATAGATCGCGCAGGAGCAAATCGACAAAGAAGATTTCCCCTCCAACTATGACTTTATTTTTCCTTGCTATTTAATTATGGAGTAGATATTTTTCTGGTTTGGGGATCATAATGTTTGGTTCTTATGTTTTGGAGATTTTTGACTTTCTTTATAAAAGTTCTTTTTAATTATCAATATTTGTCTAATTCTGAAAATAACGTTTGTGATTGTTAGATTGATTGAATATTTTTGTACCGATATTTAAATTAGTCTAATAATCTAAAGTCAATTCAGGTAGGATATCCGTAATTATATTTGCAGTTGAATAGGTGACAACCGGGTTGAATAGTTCCTTCCCGGGGGTGAGACAATCGAATCTAATTGCTTTTCTTAGGTAGTATTTGTTTTGAATTGGGTTTTTCTACATTAGAATACGATTAGGCAATACTTCTTATGGGCACACCTAAGTTTATTAACTTAATTAGGGATAGTTAATGGTCGTACTTTAATTACCTACGCTGTAAGGAAAAATTGGTTGTCAGAGTTTGTTGATAACTATAACCAATTTATTGATACTTTAATAAGAAATAACTTTATTAAATCCATAATAAAACACAAATGTCATAACTGCGTCATCCTTTAAGCCAGACATCCCCTTAATAGCTAGTTCTCCGTTAATTTAATTATTTTGTTATTTTATCTTCATTAAATAATAAAAGAAAATTTCCCACCCCCCTTTTATTTACTGCATTAGAACGCGAAAAAGTGAATCACACAATCCTTATGGAGACGATCTCTTCCCCTGTATTACATTAAATTGTGATCACGGAATAGGTAAAATATTTTATTGACTGTACGACCGGTCAATTTTTGGCGCTGTTGTCGGGGATTGGCGTTTTGTTTTACTCTGTTGTGTTATTTTTATTTATCCTCTTGTTTATGTCTCGTTCTTCTCGTACAGGTGAAGTGATATTTAATCTTGAGATCGAGAAGGTTAAGTGAAAGCTGCGAAAGGAAGCCAAACAACGAAAAGCTGCTTAAGTTGCAAAGCTGGCCGATTCTTTTACCCACCTCAGAATCTCTAGCTCTAGCGACTCTAAAAGTGCTCAAGAGACTATCATGGCTAAGGATACCCGCACTCTAAGGGAGTTGGCTGCTCCCGACTTGGCGCAGCAGCCCTTATACATTAACTTTCCAACTCTGAATAACACGATTGCTTTTGAACTTAAATCTGGTTTAATTCATTTACTGCCTTCTTTTCATGGACTTGCAGGCGAAGAACCTCACAACCACTTGCAAGAGTTCGACGTGGTGTGCTCCAGCATGAAACCACCAGATGTTACTGACAAACAGATCAAACTCAGAGTCTTCCTATTCTCACTCAAAGATGCTACAAAGGATTGGCTCTACTATCTCCCACAAAGCATCGATATGTGGAACGATATGAAAATGAAATTTTTGGAGAAGGACTTTCCAGCTTCCAGAGCTGCGATTCTGAGGAAGGAAATATGTGGCATCAAACAACAATCAGGTGAAACGCTCCAAGGATATTGGGAGCGATTTAATAAGTTTATCATTAAATGTCCACAACATCAAATTCCCCCTCAATTATTGATTCAATATTTTTATGATGGTTTGTCATTGATGGACAGGAACATCATCGATGTTGCAAGTGGTGGAGCTCTAGTAAATAAGACGCCAGCACAAGCTTGGGATCTTATTGCGAGGATGGCTGAAAATACGCAGCAATTTGATTTAAGGGATGATGCAGTTATGACACTTGTGTTTTTATCATGGATTTAATAAACTTAGTTCTTATTAAAGTATCAATAAATTGGTTATAGTTATCAACAAGCTCTGACAATCAATTTTCCTTTTTACAGTATAGGTAATTAAGGTACTACCGTTAACTACCCTAAATTAAGCTAATAAAATTAGGTGCGTCCATAAGAAATATTGTCTAATCGCATTTTAATTTAGAAAAACCCAATTCAAAACAATTACTACCTAGGAGGAGCAATTAGATTCGATTGTCTAACCCATGAGAATGAACTATTCAACCTGGTTGTCACATATTCAAGTGCGATACAATTACAGATATCCTACCTGAATTGACTTTAGATTATCAGACTAATTTAAATATCGGTACCAAAATATCCAATCAATCTAACAATCACAAACATTATTTTCAAAATTAGACAAATATTGATAATTAAAAAGAACTTTTATAAAGAAAGTCAAGAATCTCCAAAACATAAGAACCAAAACATTATCATCCCCAAACTATAAAGATATCTACTACATAATTAAATAGCAAGGAACAATAAGGAAAGATAAAGTCTTTGAGGGAAAATCTTCTATGTCGATTTGCTCATGCACAATCTATGAGTCTGTCAGTCTCCTGCTCCGGTTCGTATTTTCTCTCTGGCTGTTCTTTACCTCTTATCTCTGCGTGTTCGTATGTGACTCTCCTCATTTTTTTTTTCTTTTAGTTTTGCCCTATTTTTTTAGCAGTTGGACTTTGGCCCTTTAATTAAATTCTCATGTCAAGAAGGTGGAGTTAATCATGGACATGACTAACTCGGGGGTATAAATCTGAAATTTTTTTCGCTTTTTCTTCCAATCATGCCAAATTTTCTTTTTCTCTCTTGCATGTCGGAAATAAACAATACGCACTGAAATTAGGTAGAATCCAATTAAAAACAATCAAATATCACATATAACATGAATATTTAATGCATGAGATTTCTAACTATTAAATCTCCCCACACCTAGATCATGCTTGCCCTCGAGCATAGATTTTAAATAAGCAAAATAAAACGCAAGCGACTCAATATGAAAAGAGAATCCAACACAACCATTTTAATTCGAAATTCAACACGTTAAGCCAAATCGACCTCACAAGATAAAGTGTATATGCACATCCTCTATGAAGTTATAAGTGTATAATTGGTTCAACACTCAGGCAGTGCAATAAAAGATTATCATATAGGCTTGAGTAAAAATCAAATCTCCCTTGCTTAAAACATTTGAATATAACATAAAGAATCAAATGGACTTTCAATAAGGGTTGTAGCGGGACTTATAGTTAGGGATAGGAAGATGATAAACAACGGCTAAGTATGTCAAAAAAGAATACATTAAGAAAACGATGCTAGCACATAAAAAACAAATCAGCATGTCGGCAAAGTATGCCAACTTGGGAGCTACGTTGAATGACGCATACATGGTGAAAAATTTGTTCGACACTGTGCCTACTCAGTATTACCAGGTTATCGCCGGAATCGAACAATTCTATGATCTTCCCACCATGCCTTTCGAAGAAGCCGTTAGACGTCTTAAAACATTCGAGAAGCGCATCCGGCAAACAACACTTAGCGGAAAAAGTGGCAGTCAGCTACTCAGTCAGCTACTTCTTGCCTAGACAGATTGGAAAGAGCAGCATAAGTACAAATGTGGAAAGGAAAAAGACCCTAGTGAAGGAAGCGGCAATCGCGGCCGGGGTGGACGTGGTCACGGGAAAGGGTCGTGGCAAAAGTGAGCACACAAACGCTACACACAGGGAGAACACAAAAGGTGCTGGCGGGGGAAGCCGCGACAAGAGCCATACAAGGTGCTACAATTGCAACAAGGTGGGGCACTATGTATCAGAGTGTTAGAGTAAACAACGGAAGGCATAAGCCAACCTAACGTGCACAGAGGAAAAGGAGCCCGCACTTTTACTGTCAGCTGCGGCAAAAAGAGAAAATCGAGCTCTATTAAGCAAGGAACAAACAAATGCTCGAACAAAGGACGGAGATGGACCCGAAGGTGACACTTGGTACTTCGACAATGGAGCAAGTAATCACATGACTGGAGAGCGCAAACACTTTCGTCACCTGGATGAATCGGTGCAAGGAGAAGTAAAATTTGGGGCTGAATCCAAATTTCAGAGTAAAGGAAAATTATTGTACTATTCGATTTCAAGGGCGACAAGCAGTGATTACTCGATGAGGTATATTGCATCCCTGATTTGCATAATAATATCATTAGTTATGGACAGTTGGCCGAAACAGGGAACAAACTAGTGATGGAAGAGGAGCATCTATGGATATACAACTCGAGTGGGATCCTGACCATGAAGGTTTGATGTCAATCTAACCGACTGTACAAGGCTACAATCACCTCTTGAGCTCTAGTATGCTTGATAGTAAATATTTCAGATCAAGGATGGTTGTGGAATGCTCGGCTCGGGCATGTCAACTTCGAGGCCTTGAGAAAGCTAATAGAAAAGAAAATGGTGATTGGTGTACCACTGATCACACGTCCGAATCAGCTATGTCAAGGATGCCTTATCACTAAGCAGCCACGACAGCCATTTCCAACACAAACACGGTATCGAGCAAAGAAAGCACTTGAGCTTCTACACGCCAACCTCTGCGGACCAATCACTCCCTCAAAACAGCCGGTAACAAATATTTTATGTTAATTGTTGATGATTATTTGCGATGGACATAGAGTTTTATGATCAGATCGAAGGACCAGGCGTGTAGCACATTCAAAAATTTCAAACAGCAAGTGGAGACTGCCAGCGGGTACCGAGTCAAAAAATTGAGGACCGATTATGGCGGTGAATTCTTATCAACAGAGTTCACTATGTTTTGTGAAATATAAGGGATTCAAAGACATCTGACCGCTCCCTACACGCCACAACATAATGGAGTAGTAGAGCGCAGAAACCAGACAGTGATGGTGATGGCAAGATCACTCCTAGAAACTATGCATGTCCAAAACGAGTTATTGAGGGAGGCCATGAGACATGCAGTGTACATTCTGAATCGACTACCAACAAAGGCACTCGAGATTGCACACCATTTGAGATATGGTGCGGAACGAAGCCAAACCTCACTCATCTAAGAGTGTTTGGTTGTACTGCTCACTCAAATATTAAGACACCCCTTCAGAAGAAACTCAATGATCGCACGAAGGCAATGGTGTATCTTGGCGCTGAAGAGGGCTGCAAGGCACATCACCTTTAAAATCCTCACCACAAAAAGATTTATATAAGCAGGGACGTCACGTTTGAAGAGAACGTCGCATGGAGGTGGGATACAGACTCAGAAATCAGCGATAGCCAACCTCTTACTGTCGAAGGATGCCAAATCTTGAGGCCTCAGTCAGATTCAGTACCAGATAGATCCTCGGAGGAAGATACAGCGAGTCCCTTAGGATAGAGCATGTCAACCTTTGGATCACCAATGCCCGAACCTGTTAGTCTAGTTGTGACCACATCACCATTATCAGGAGAACGCTCCACCAGCACTGACGATAGATCCATGTTTTTCAAAAATATTGATTCTTTAATATGAGATGCTCAAATATTGGAGCTTCAGGAAAAATATGGTGAATATTTACTACTTGTTGACATAGAAGAACCATATCACTACCACGAAGCTGCCGAACAAATTGCCTGGGAGAAGGCGATGATGGATTAAATCAAGTCAATCGAGAAGAATGCAACATAGACTATCGTCGACTTGCCACCGGGACACAAACACATAGGACTAAAATGGGTTTACAAGCTAAATTGAAATTCAAAAGGTGAGGTAGTTAAGCACAAAACAAGGCTCATTTCGAAAGGATACGTACAAAGATATACCTGGAATTCGAGGAAGTCTTTGCACCAGTGGCCAGACTGGATACGGTATGCGTAATCCTTGCGATATCGGCTAATCGTGGATGGCAGGTACATCATCTAGACATAAAGTCAACCTTTCTGAACGGCGATCTTGAGGAGAAGGTGTACATAATGCAACCAGAAGGGTTCACAGTGAGGAATAAAGAACATCAAGTCTACAGGCTACACAAAGCATTATATGGGCTCTGACAAGCACCGGGGGCTTGGAATATCATATTAGACAGAAGCCTCAAGCAGCTCAGCTTTACCAAATGTGTATAGGAACAAGTTGTTTATACCAGAGGATAGGGACAATCAGGTATCATCATTGGTGTGTACGTCAATGACTTAATTATCACCGGAGAAAGCCCGAAGAAGATCAACCTGTTCAAAAGGCAGATGATGTCTGAGTTTTAAATAAGCGACCTTGGACTTCTTACATTTTATCTCAGGATAGAAGTGGCGCAAGAAGAAGGACAGATAACTCTCAAGCAGTCAGCATACTCCAAGCATTGTGACGTGGAACTCACAGAAGCAGAAGACGGTAGCACTATCATCATGTAAAACTGAATTAATAGCAGCAACATCCACAGCTTATCAAGCATTATGGCTAAGGAGTTTATTGGGAGAACTGACGAAACAAGAACTCAAACTAGTAAAGCTGCTCGTCGACAACAAATCAGCCATTGCTCTGATGAAGAACCCTGTCTTCCATAGGCGAAGCAAGCACATTGACACTAAATTAGACTTTATCAAAACTAAGAATCTATCAGGAATACAGTTAGCAACGAAAAGACATTTGATGAGCGTATTTGAACTCAGGCCAAGTCAGAATTAAAGGGGAGCTTGTTGGGAAATAATTAACCATGACTTAAAATTGTTTTTGATTAATTCTACAAGGGTTACCATGTGTTCTGTGAGCTTTTTTAGTTTTCTATTTTTAGAACAGTCTATTTTGCTCTCAAACTTTTATCCATTCCTGCACCGTCTATAAATACTTGTCTATATTTTATTTTCCACGTACGTTCTGTGAGCTTTTTTAGAATAAAGGTTTTAATATTCCTGCAGTTAATCTCCCTTTTGCTCTAATTCATTTTTTTTTTTCACCTGACATCTCATTAAATCTTGTATTATCTCCTTATCGTTCTAATTCTCTCTCTCCACTCCAAAAATAGGCTGACACACACAAATATATATATATATATATATATACTTTCCATTACAATACAGATAATTTGCTTTTTGTTTGAATAGAAGCAAAGCCATTCCAGAGAGAGACCACCGAGTTAAATATTTTCGTTATCCAAGGAGATTGAAGCAAAGGCATTCCAGAGAGAGACCGGCGAGTTAAATATTTTCGTTATCCAAGGAGATTGAAGCAAAGCAGTCGAGTCCGATTAGATATGAAGTCGTCAATTGTCATATTACACCTGGTACAAAAAAAATACATATTTTTATCTTTATGCTACAATATAAAATCGTATAAATTTAATATTTGATACTTAGTCAACCGTCCAAATAATATTGAATAAATTATTTTTATTAAAATAAAAATTCTAAAATTTTTTATATATTTTTTCTATTTTTTAATAGTTTTTATAAAAGTAAATTATACTAATAATTATTTATAAAATTATATTTTATTTTATAAATAAATAAATAAATAAGACTTATAATTATCATATCATATATATATAAAGGATGTAGGACTACAATATTAATATTTTCTCCGTCTCAATTCAAATTATCTTATTTACTATTTTCGTCCGTCTCATTTCAAAGTGTCACTTTCCTATTGTAATAAAAGTAATCATACATTAATACCGAAATACCCTCAATCACTTTTTTATGTAAAATTATATTCTATTTAATATTATTTTCATTAACAATAATGAATCATAGTTACAATTTATATTAACTGAGACAAGTATTGGTGTTTAGGCTATGATTAAAAAAAAAGGTATAATTTGACATTGCGGAAACTAAAGCGATAGTTTATCCAACATACTTCAACAAAATAAATTATATTTACTTATGCATACATTGATCTTTAAACTATAATAATAATAATAATAATAATAATAAAGTAATAATAATGTAAATTTAATATTTGCTATAAATAAATGATTCAAATAATATTAAATCAATTATTTTGATTAAAGCCAAATTTCTAAAATTTAACATTCGACTATTACTATCACTTTACATAATAATTTATTTGTAATTATTATTTTTTATAGATATTTTATACGTAACTTTTATTTTTAAATGTACAGGCTTTGCTCTTTTAACCAAAATTTTCCAATACATAATTTCAAAGAAAAAATACAAACTCATTATTTAAATATATCCACATAATACTTCACATAAAAATAAAAAAATGCAAACCGAAATACAAAACAAACACACCCATAATAATTCAAACAATATATATAGTCTAAAATATATAAAATATCCGTATTTAGCACATATTACCGGCTAGTTCATGTATATGATAAATATTGTGACCAAAAAAATTGTTAGGTGAGCACAAATTTTTATTTCAAAAAATAAAATAAAATAAAAATAAAAACTACTAGCATTTAATAATTTTTATTTCGAACGAAGTTTTCCGTTAACAAATTCGACTTTAAGTACAAATACAGTTTATTTGATATTTATTCAATTCAATTTCAATTATTTTTATTAAAAATAAAAACTAATATTTTTGTTTAATCGAAATTTTAATTATTTTTAATATATTTTTTTAAAAAAAAATCAATTCAATTCAAAAAAAAATTATAAATATTGTAAATACTTTTTATTACAAATTCACAATTTTGAATATTAGTTTGTTTCAATTCGGATATCAAATCCTTGCATATTTGCAAATATTTGAACCATGTTCGTCCCTAGAGTTGAGGCATCTTCTCTTTTCTTCTCCTCTGTCCTAGTCCACCTTCCCACAATCGCTACTAACTAACTAAACTAACATTAATCTCTCATCCATAAATTTAGAATTAAGACAAGGCAAGGCGATATTATTCAAATGCAAAATAAATACTTTACAAAAAAATAAATATGAGCATGGATCATGTGCTGAGATAAAAATTCATTTCAGCACCCACAGCCTTAGATTAATTAAGGATAACTAAATAAATTATGATATTTCTTTGAATGAAAGGTGGAGATGAAATTTCAGCATGCTGATTTTAATAATTCAGCATAGAATCTGTCTTGATTGCCCAACAAAACAAGCACAACGCTATTTATTATGAGTAGGTTAGGTTAGGTTCTTCACATGTTACCTGAAGCAGCGATTCCTCGGGAAGGTGGAGGGCTACCGAATTTCAATATGTATGCAGTTTCATGGGCAGGGCGCAGTGACGGGATCACTTGTGCATCAAGGTAGGCGTCGCAAGAGAAACACCACACAGACAGATCACTGTGCATGTTTTAATTAAACAACAAATCAAATACACAATAATAATAATCATAGATCGGGATATAAATTCAAGAATCTACACACATACATTCAACATATGCATATATATATATATAATAGGGAAAGGGAAAGGGAAATAATTAACTAACCTGAAGCTGAGAGCCACAGCATGGTGCTCTTGATGGTAATGCTCGAGCATGTGCTTGTTGATGAACCGGCTGCATAGGACAACTTTACAGCTCAAGCACACCCAGTTCTCTTTTGGATGATCACACCTTCATCCAATTAAATCATTCTTAAAGTCAACAACAAATCAAGTGCACAATCGATGATGATCATATATGGATTTAACTCAGAGAATTCTAAGTACTTGGATTTCTTAGACAAGTTTATCAACTTCCAATTCATGCTTCATTAGGTGTTGTCATTCAACATGATAAGCATAGTTTAATAACCATATGATGTATTTCTAGCCAATTCTGTTAAACTTTTGATGAGATGTCAATTCAACAAAATATTAAACAAAGGGTTTGAACCAACCTTAATATTAACTCTAGTTACTAACCTAAAAAACTCATATTCAATCAAAATATTAAGAAATCACTGCACTGCGCTGCACTGTATTGTTTGCAAGGTTTAATTTGAATGATGATAACAAATGGTTGAATCCCAAATCATAATTACCACATCAGATTAAAAAATTCAAAAAAATAATGTACATACAAAACTGTAAATGACAGGCAAACTCAATAAAGCACAGAATAACTTTACTTTTAATAGTTTAACTGCTGCAAGCCATCTAACAAAAATATACCCAAAATTGCTTAGCTTCTATAAAATTTCAAATGCAGGGCAGGTTTCCGGCATATCAGTTAATTATCATCGATCAACCATAAATCTAAATACGTGAATCCCGAAATGATCCAATACATTAATTTGTTCACAATAAAATGAACGGATAATGAAAATTGTGAATCAAAATCGCCGAACATGGCTATAAACACCTCGTTCATCTAACAACATTGATAGATAGATTATCGCACATATTAACTACTATTAATGAGTTCCTAGTACTAACACCATTCTCAAAAGTTGGTATAGCAGGCAGCCAAAAACAAAAATCCCTTCGAATTATCCTCCTTCATCAGATCGATAAAGAGGAAAATTCCTCCGATGAAATGAAGCATTAGGTATACGTAATCGAGTATTTCTCCATGAAATTGCATAGGATCAGGGTGCGAAGGGATTGATCGATAAATAGGTGTTTAGGGTTTAACAACGCAGACCTGTTGCAAGGTGTTCCGGGAGTTGGAATATGCACCAAATCCGTGGATAAGGAGCTGAGATGGTCGCAGTGCGTTCGGGCGTCGACGTAGCCTGATTCAGATCCGTCGAAGGCACATTCATCGTCCTCTCCAATGGTTCGCAGTGAGGAGGATGAAGACGCCATTGAGTTGATCCTACTCTATTCGGAATGCCACGTTAGTGTTAAATAGCCCTAAAACTTGTGCTGTTTTGGTCGTTGCGTTTTCTTCGGTCAAAATCCACTTCAGGTTTATATTTACGACGTGCAATGACTAAAATGAATTTTATAGTTCCCATAAATTAAAAAATAGAAATAAAAAAATAATAATGGCTCCATTTACCTATAAGTTTTAAAAGTTTTGTAGGTTTTAATTTTTTTGAATTTATATATATATATTATTCAAATTAAATTAATTTCAAAAATAATATACGCGATAAAAATAAAAAATAGTTTATAAAAATTAAGAATAACAAACTACATAATTAAAAAAATACATACAAATATAATTAAAATTTATCTTTATTTTTCAAATATTCTTTTAAATCAAAATACTCAAAGAACATAATATACAAATCTAAAAAATGTATTAAAATATTATACTAAAATTCAAATCAATTTGAAAAAAAAATACAAATAAAAAAGATAAAAAATTGATAATAAAAAAAAAAAGTAATAAATCATTAAAAAAAATACACATATTGTATTTTTTCTTGGCTTCTTTTTGCTATTTTTATTTTTCATATTTTTTTCCTGCATCAATGAATATTAGAATTGATTAGTATAAACTAAAAAAATAAGAATAATAGAATCAATATATACTATAGTTAATTTGTAACTAATTAAATTTAAAATTTTAAAAATTATAAAAAAATTATTATAAAAATTTCAAAAAAAACATAATTCTCTTATAATAATATGAGTAACGATAACCAATTATATTTGCAAATAAAATATTAAAAAATACGATAAATTTTAATATGAAAAACTAGATAAAACAAATCAAATGTCTACCCGACCAAATAATAAACTCTATTATAATCAAATTGTATATAAAAATCGTTCAATGATATGGATAAATACGTCTCAATCACCACTATATCATCAAACAAAAAACACATGATCAGACAGTTAAGAAAGTAGGAATCACCAATATTTTTGTTATGATCATTGTATTCTTCTTATAATTTTTTTTTCCTCATGTGCTTTCTATATCAAAAGGAAAAAAAAAATAGTTTAAATAAAAAAATACGATTTTTAAAAATAAAATTGAAAATCTAATAATGTATAGAATTAAAAATCATATATAATATGAAAATCTAATTTTATCCATATTTCTATTATTTATTATTTCAGTAATTTTATTGACTTGTTTATATTTTTAATAAATTTTAATTAATTATCCAAACATATATATAATAAAAAAAAATTAATTAAAAAAAAAAACTTTTGAAATTGAATTGTGTTTAATTAGAATTTTTAGAAATATTTTGAATAATTTGTTATTTATTACGAAGTAAACACATAGAATACACTAACATGTGATGTAGGAGATACGTGGATACTTTTCTATTCAATCAATGTGGAATTTGATGTGCCTATATATATGAGTGAATTGTAAAATGCACTGGACATGAATAACATCTGAATTCCTTCTCTGTTTGGTTTATGTATCAAAGAAATTCATTACCCCTATCATCATTACATCTACTCACTTATGTTATATATATATATAATAATAATAATAACCCCACTACATATCCACACATCATATATATATATAAATATATACATACATATATTTAATACCCTTCAAGGCCGTATACATATATCTATATACTTATGATAACTAAAATTTGTTATAGTAATTTTTATACAAATTCATAGGGAATTTTATTCGAAAATCAATGAGTAAGATTTTATAGGAAAGCGATCAGATATAGCAATTGTGTGGTTGTAGACCCTGAGTAGTTATCACAATTATTTATACTCTTTTTACTGGTGAGTTTCCAGGTCGAACACAAGGATTTTAAGTCATGAATTTCAAAGGTGAAAATCTTGAAAAAAACGACGAAAAATGCAAGAAAGGATCCGCTTGCAGCGGATCCGAAGTTTAACTACTGAAAGCGGTAAATAAAGCAATAAAGATGAGGTGAGTGGAAGCGAGCGAAGCGAAGGCGAGAGGTAGAGTGCCAGTGGTAACCAAATTATCGGGACATGAGCGGAAGTGGAGACCAGATGAGCGGGACATGGATGAAACGTGGTTACCAGATGATCGGGGTATGAGCGAGCGGCACATTATATATATATGTATATGAGCGAATTAAAGTGAAGGAGAGGTGTTGTGTTTGATCTGTGCGTTACTAAATGGATAGATTTTCCTGGATGTAGTGAGCGAATGATGTAAGTGTGTTATCGGAAGAGTATATGTATATTATGGCAATGATGAGAGGAAGATGTTGTAATTATATAAACTAAATTGTAAAGAACTCATAACACTGGAATTTTGACCTGAGGGTATTTACAACAAGACTTCAATGACACCCAGAATTAAGACATTATAAGAAAGAAACCCTGCTGTCACTAGGAATCTCTGTGACTTAATAGACCCCCACCTATGTCCCATTAATTTTCCAAATTTCTGCCTCATTAGTGGCTTTACCCCCTGATGTTACTACTATTTAATCAAAATCGAATTTAGCACAGTAGTTAAGCAGGTCGACAAGGCTCTCGCGTACTTAACTACATTGAACTACCTTGAGACCGCTTTTGGCGCATAACAAAGCTTAGATAATCAATTATTCTCTCGCTCTAAACCAGTGAAATGAAATTCTCTAAATTTGATTTATATAAGTGTGGAATAATGTGGAAGAATTAGTTTGAAGAAGTGAGTGATATTCCTTTATATACTATGAAAGCGTGAAAGATTAGAACTACAAAGCTGTAAACGAAAGCAGTAATCTAATCTAAGAAAGCAGTAAAGACGTGACCAAGGGAGATGGGAAAACCCTACTCCCTTGGCCATTCCTATGGAGAACTCCTTTACAGGGTTGGAGCTCTCTGAAACAGGAAGACGACGAATGCTAAAGTATGCAGAAATCACCAAAAATTCGATCCTTTACATATAGATATTTGGCCCTATTTATAGCAGGTGCAAAAGGGACGGTTACAAGCAGTTGCTGGGCGGTTCCAACCGTTGGACAGTTAGGCGGTTGTTAGTAGTTATTTTGTTGAAGCAGTTGCTGGCCATAACTCCCAGGGTGCCTGCTTCGCTTGCGTTGAAGGTTAAGGGCACAGACCTTCCTCGCTTGCTGGAGAACAGGAGGGCATCAGCGCAGCTCGGCTCGCTTGTGCTGGCTGGAATTAGAATGGCTGTATCGCTGCAGTTGAAGTACTTAGTTGAAATCTGGTGATAGTCTGCAGCGGTGGTTATCTGGACTGTCGCTTGCAAGCGGGAGAGGCTATCGCTTGCGGGTGGTGAAGGTGGCCGCTTGCCTCTCATGCCTTAGTATTTTCAAAGTGTATTATGGGCACTTGCGAGCGAAGGCGGCTGTCGCTTGCGGCGTCTGCCTTAGCTTTTCTGGTTCCAGATTACCGCTTAAGAGGGCAAAAATCGTTAATAATCTCAACAACGAACTCTGGATCATGCCAAGTGATATAAATCAATATTGTATGCCGTTTACGAATTATTTTGATGGTTCTTATGCAGAAATTCGAGTAATACACATTTTTGTCAAGCTAAGAATATGCTCATATTTGGAGTCATCAAACCTCTTCACACTAAACCTTTGTTCGTCCTCGAACAAACTGTATTTAAAAGATCAAGAGGTTATTCTTTTCACCGCAATCAAGAAGTGCTAATAATTAGTGCCATGATTGGGAATAGAGTGAATCTTGGATGGAACAAAGGGGCCACAAGTATTCAGCTTGTCATTTGATTTAACAAGATTGGAGTTATCCAGGTATCGTCAATTTTGTTTGCTTAGCAGGGATTCTTTTTTTTTATTAATGAAACCTTCAGCCGAAGGGCGCGGAGAAAGTTTTTTTTTTTTTTTTTTTTGGATCATGAGTTTCAAGCAGACATTGTGTCTGCTCAGGATCTTATTTGATTCTCGCGTGCCTAGGCCTTTTCAGTTCCTTAGTAATAATAGGTCCTCCCCGCTTCGCTCGCATTGCATCTTAAACCATCTTTAAGGACTTCTCTTTTCAAGTTATGCCTTATGAGCGCAGTCAAAAAACCTGGGTCCGCTTGCCCTACTGAGTATGGAAGAGTTGAAACGAAGGGGGCACTAGTTTTTCGCAAGTCTCTTTCGTTGTTACTTAGTCTAACACTAATGTTCAAGTTATGGTGAAGTTCGAAGGACAAGTACTTAGTCTGATGTGCTTAGGTTATCTAACTCTACTCTAAAACATATCACCAAGTTAACTAAGCAGGATATTACAGGTATTTCACATAAGAGCGCATACTTCAGGTTATGTTAGGCATACAATAAAGAAAAATTGTCTCTTGTTACCAAAAATTGTTGTTTCCTTGATTGATGTTATATACAGACCTTGCCATTCTCAAATTTCGTACATGGGGGAGGACCTTTCTTTACTTGTTCTTCTCGTTTGTTGGTCCTCGCCCCTGAGGAAGGTTGCGTGATATCTGCCGCACTAGGTCTTCCAATCGTTGGAGACTCCTGGCTGTGTCAAGCTATTGTTCCATCAGAATGGCATTTTGTTGGGTAAGAGCTGCGAGTGCTTTCATGATCTCATGCAGCGTCGTACCCATGCTTGCAGCTTGAGTCTCTAGTGCTTCCATTCGTTCTTCTAATGCGGCAGTTGCTTTCTTTCCAGCGGTCAATTCATCACCCAGACTCCTAGCGTATATGTCAATTATTATTTGAGTCATCATGTATTGGGTGAGAATGGCTGAGTCGAGTTCCTCCAGTCTTCTTTCAATATTTTCCAGAGATGAGCGGGGGGCTGATGGTCCAGCACCCGCCGCTGTTGGTGACTGTCGTTCGCTCTCAGCTGAACTGATCTCTAGTGGCTCTTCCCCTTTATGGAAATTGGGTGCTGGCTCAGGGGAGACATCCCTGAGGAATACTAGCTGCCTCGCTACCTCGTACTCCAGCTGTTCTGCTTTCTTCCGTTGTAAGTACCTCTTGAATCGCAGCTGGAGTTGGGTCAGCGGTTTCCA